ATACTATGAAACTCTGGATAGATATTATATTAATTTGAGGTGATATTAACCTGAATAATAGTATTATAATGGAATGTGCTTTAATATTTACAAAAGAATTTGAATTTAAAAGTAAATTTCTTGCTTCATCTGGATGATTAAAGAATTTCAAAAAGAGAAATAATTTATGATTATATAAAAAGTATAGTGAAATTGAAAGTGTTAACATAGAAAATATTCCACAATTTCAAGCTGATTTGCAGAATATTCTCAAAGAATATAATCATTAAGATATATTCAATTATAATAAAACTGCTTTATATTGGCAATTAGAATCAGATAGATCAATTACACATATACCTTTACTGGGCAAAAAGAAATCAAAAGAATAAATTATATTATTATTAACTTGTAATACCTCTGGTGACAAAAAATTACTAATATTTCTTATACACAAGTATGAGATATCATATGTATTAAAGGGTATAAGCAAAGATATATTATCAGTTTGGTATTACTAGAATGCTAAAGCATAGATGCAAAGAAATATTTTTTATTCTTATTTAGTATGGCTAAACTCTTGAATGAAACTTGTGAATAGAAAAATTCTCTTGCTTTTAGATAATGTTAATTGTCATAAGATGTGAGATACAGATAATCTATTTAATATTTGACTCCATTTTCTCTCACCTAATACTATTGCTGTTCTTCAGCCTTTGGATCAAGACATAATTTATAGTTTAAAGATATAGATACTATATTTTATGTAAAGAAGTTTGTTCTATAAGATTTAATTTTATACTTAATTAACTTAATAATTATTCAAATATTAGACCCATTATCAAAAAATTTTATGTTATAAAAAACTCTATACATATAAAAGACTTTCAGAAGAGAATGATGAACTTTCTAAAACTATTATATTTGATGTAATTAATTATATTAATAATGCTTGGTGTAATATTACCTAAATAATAATCCAGTATAGTTAGAACCAAATAGAAATTCTTTCTATAACTCAATCTGCAATAATTTTCTTACCTTTGCAAACAAACATAATAGAAAGTTTAGAAACTAAAACTTTAGAACATAAATTAGAAAATCTTATTAATCAGCTTTCAATAATTAACTCACTATCAGTAATAGAATTTATTAAAATTAATAAGAATCTGATACATGAGAAAGAAATAACTGTTAAGAATATAGTCAATATAATAAGAGATATTGGTATAGAGAAGGAAGATGAAGAGCTTAGTATTAAAAAGATGTCTATTTATGAAGCACTTGAATATATAATATTGCTTCAGAATTTTATAAGTCAGAATAACTTAAATATTGATGTGAATTTTGTATTAAATTTAGAAAGATTAAGAAAGAAAATTATTATACAACATATTGAACAAAAGAGGCAGATAAATATTGATGAGTTTTTTATATTTGAGTCTTAAATTAAATTTATCATTAGATTTTATGTTATACATATTATAACTATGTATAATAAAAGATATTAATATTAAAGATCATCATTTATAACAGATTTTTTGCAAGTTTAGTTAAGAGTCCAATATAAAACTTACTGTTTGATATAATAGATCATTAATATAACAGACAAAAATACTGGTACTGAGCAGTTTATTATATTAACTTTCACTGTGTATAATTAATCTTATAAATAAATAATATTTTAGTAAAAAGCTTATATCTAAATATATTGAATTCTTTTCTATTCTTGAAATAATTTTATCTATTATATATAAACTAGATTTATCATTATATATAAAAATTTACTTTGTCTTTTATATCTTATTATTAAAATTATATAATCTAAATAAAATAAAAAATTTATTTATTTAATATTATTATAATTAATTATCATACTTGAAATTAAAAAAGAAGAATATAAAATTAAAGTTATTTTGAATAAAAAATGATCTGTAATAAATTTCAATATTTAATTAAATAGCTAAATTATTTTCTTTATAATATTATTTGTAAATTCTTGACAAATCATTATAATGTTATAAAATTTTTAAATTAAAATATTAATGAGAATATTAATTCTTAAAAAAATAAATATATAATAAAATTTAATTAGTAAATTCATAAATTATATTATATTATCTTATTATATATAATTTATTATATTATAATTATTTGATTTTATCAAGAAAAATTATATAATTCTTTGAGTTATTTTTATTTTAGAGAATTATTTTTTTATAGAAGTTTTATTTTCTTTTATTATATAAATATAACTAGATATATTATTTTTTTTATATTTTTATTTATAATTTTATTTTCTATATTTATATATCTATAAATATCTTTTAGAGATATTACTTATTTAAGTAATATATATTAATAATTATTTAAATTTTATATAATATTAATTTATTTAAAAATATTATTTTTATTCTGTAATAATAATAATAATTATTATAATAAAGATTAATAAACTCTTATTTATTCTTGACTTATATTTTATATAAATCTAAAATTAATTATTTACTATATTTTAAATCTTTATATGAATTTTTTTGATATTTATAATAAGTAACTAGAAGATTACAAAAATAAAATTTATAAATTATAAATTAATATAAATTTTTTAAAATTTTCTAAAAAATTATTTTAATTATAAAGTTATTATAAGAATTTTTTTAATTATAAATGATTATTATAAAAGAGAATTTTTAATTTTGTTATATTTTATTAATAAAATTAATTATTTTTATTTATAATTATAAATATTAATATAATATATTTTTTAAAAGTTATTTTAATTATAAAATTATTATAAAATTAATTATCTTATATTTTTAATTAAAATATATATAATTAATAAAGTTAATTTATTATTATATAATTATAAAAATTATTATATTTAAAATATTTATAAACTTAATATTTATTTATTATAAGTTTAATTTTTAATAATTTAATAATTATTTATATTTTTTATAATTTATTTTGCTAAGTTATAATTATTATATTATATTAAGCTTTATTATATTATATCATTTTATTTTTATATATAAGATTATTTAATTTTTTGAATTATTATAATTATAATATAATTTCTTAATAAAATATCCTTTTATTTCTTATTTTATATTTTTAATTAATTTTATTTTATATTTTATAATTTTTATTTTTATATTTATTTAATATTATTAATTAATTAATAAGTATTTTTTAAAAGTATTTTTTATATTATTAATAAATTATTTATATATTAATAATTCATATAATTATAAATTAATATTTAAAATACTTTATACTATTATATAATATTAACTTTTATTTTATTATTAATAAAATAAATTTCAAATTAAAATAAGATTTATTTATTTTTAATTTTATTTTTTATATAAATATATTTTTATTAAATTCTAAGATCATATTTCTGAAAATAAAAATAATTTATTTTTAAATAATAATATTTTATATATAATAATAATTAAAATATTTGAATTTTTCTTATTATATATAAATTTTTAATTTTATTAATAATATTTTTTTAAGATATTATTTTAATTATATATAAAATCAATTAATTATTATAATTAATTTAAAATTATTTATTAAAAAATTAAAATTCAAGTATTATATTTAATTTTAATTATTATTATAAATAAATTCTGAAAAAGAATTTATATTAAATTTAACTATTTATAAAATAAATTATTTTAATTATTTTTGAATTAAAAATATTTTACTGAAAAAATATTTTTATAATAATTTAGTTATATTTTTTAAATTTAAATTTAAATTTATTTTATAATAAAGATATTTATAATTTTAATTTATTTTATAATAAAGATATTTATAAAAAAATTTTATATTAATTTTTTTTATATAGTATATAATATAAAAAACTAGATATTTTATTTTTGATTATATTTAATGAATATTTATTTAATTTGTATAAAATTTTAAATATATATGCTTGATAACTTAGTGAAAAAGTTTACTTAAAAGTATTTAATGGTTTATTTTAATAAAATTTTTCATAATTAAAATTTTTTCATTAAATTTATTTTTTAAAAAATTGATTATAAAAAATTTAAATTACTTTTTTGATCTTTTTTTATTTGTTATTTAATAAATATTTATTTAAATTATATAAAATTTTAAATATATATACTTGATAATCTAGTAAATATGTTTATTTAAGATTAATTTGCAAAATAATAATCAAATTTATTTATAATAATTTATTTAAGTTTTTCTTATTATTAAAAATATTTAATTTTAAAAATATAAATTATAAAAAATTTTAATAAGATAAGTGTTCAAGTAGTCTTAAAATAAAGTTATTTATCACACTCTTAAGTTTATATATTTAAATTTTAAATAAATATTTATGAAGAAAATTAAAATATCCAGTTTTTTTGTATACTGTACTTGTTATTCTAAGATATTTTGTTATAGTTATATATTTTATTAAATTTCAAGAGAATATTATAATAACTATTAAAAATATTATTGAACTTATTAATAAAATATGGTAAAATTTGTATATATTTATAATTTTATTAATAAATATTTTTTATATCAAAATAAAGCTCATAATTTATAATAAAACAAATAATTTTAAATTAAAAATAAAATTTATAAAATTTATATGATTACTTTATAATTAGTAATTTCTCTAATAAATTCAAACTATTATATATTAAACTATAAAGTATAGACTTAATTTTGATATAAAAATAAAAAATATTTATTTAATAACATTATAAATTTAATAGAGAAATAATTCCAATTTTATTAATTGATTTTACATTCTGATACATTATTTTTAGCAACTACTACATATATATGCTTTTATAAAATATCTTAGTACAATTTGATTCAGCTAAGTCAAACTGATCCAATCGATTCAGTTATTAGAACTGGCGCTGAACCAGTTTATTTACATTATAACCAGTAACATCCCTATGTGACATAAAAATCTTACAATTTATAGGCACAATAGAATCACACTTTTTTTGGTTCGAAAGTGATAGTAATATAGACTAGGAAATAGAATGATCCTTTGATGTAAGAAATTCATTGATAATTTTAACTGAACCTTGATGCTCTATGTAAAACCTAAAAAATGAAAAAATTTATTAAATAGTAATCAAGAAAAATGAAAGCATCTACATGTATAAGCACACTTACAGATGTCCAGCATTTTTTAGCTTAATAAATTTAGAACTAGGCATTATATGATGAATAAATTCTCCATGATTAACTGGAATAACCTTATCTTTATCGCCGTGAATGATAAGAGTCGGAATTAGAATGGCATTTATTTTCGATTCTGCATCAAATTTCTCTACTACTTGTATCTGTTTAGCTTTTATTATACATGAATCTATGAGAACTCATATTCAAATTTAGTTTGGGAAAAAGAAAACAATAAATAATACTCACCAATCACAGCATGACTTTTGCGATTCATGAACTCTATTTCATCTTCAACTATTTTAGCAAAAATCTTTGGATTTGCTTCAATCCATTCTTTTGTAAAATTGAGTTCTAACAAGCTCAGTATGAATTGTCTCTTTCGCTCGGGTGTAAAACTTAGTTTATCGAGTTTTTTCAAGTCTTCGACATATTTGCTGAAAGTCACTTTTGAGGATCTAAATAAATTTGAAGTTAACTTCTGATGCTCTTATTTACGATAGGAAAGAATAATTATGAAACTATTCACGTCGAACAAAGTATCAGTTTCTCGATCTTAAACCCTGGTGAAATATTTAATGCCGTTGTAAGAGCAATCATTCCTATATGTTATGTCCATACAAAGGATTTTTTTGGTAAAAATCAATCTTATAGTATTTCAAAAATTTAGTTCGTTCTATTACCGCCCATAGAGTATCCTAAAAGGTGAAATTGTTTCCATTTAACGTGATTTGCTAGCATGAACACAAGTTTTGCTAAATCCTCTATAGTCATGGAAGTTTCAAGGGGTTGTTGTGATTCGCCGAGTCCTGGATTATCGAATATAAGAACTTGTATAAAAAATTAATGTTAGTGTACAAAATAAGTCTTTTAAGATGTATAATATCGATATCTACCTTGTCTTTCTCGTGCTAATTCTAAATAAATGAATAAAAAAATCAAAATTCTAAAGTATTTATTCATATTAAAAAAAATAAGCTTGAATGCTACCATCAGATAAAGGCTGAAAGTCCTCTTTTAATCCGTTCCTATAAAAAGATATAAAAAATTATTTTATTGAACATTTCGACTCGTCTATTTCTAAATTTCTTTACACAATACGTACAATCCCATTATCATAATCAAAGGTATTTGATTTTTGGTTTCCTGGCTGCCATGGTCGAGTATCTTATAAGCGATTTTGATGGTTTCATTTTGGTGAAAGAAAAGTGTTTGATTTGACATTTTAAAAAACTATATCACTGAAAGATTCACATCAAGTTTTTTACTATCGCTATCTAAATCGATCGGTAAATTGTTAGTGTGTTTCGATATTGAGGTGGTCTAACGCTAATTCATAGCGAATACATGTATTCGTACTACATTGATAAATTAGGTTTTTATTTTCTCCATCAAATTGGAATAAATAAGCTTGTTTTATTGTCTAAATCAACAAAAAGCACATGTAATACATAGAAAAAGTTTTTTGATATTGAAAAGTTCTTAATTCTAATTTCTCTAGATCAGTTTGAATCCCATCTTTTTAATAATATAACCAAGGTTCCGGTTGAAGAGATTATATATGGTGCGGGAAATCTTAACTCGCCAATAAATTACATAATATTTAAAGACTATTAGAGCCCTTAATAAATCGAATTTTAAAAAAACAAACCGGCAATAATATTGTTTAAGATATGTACTATTGAACTACTGGTCAGAATTTAGTTTTAAATAAGCATTTTAAATCGGGTACTTATTATATGGTTTGTCAAAATTGAAAAATATCATGGGATCATTTATCACGTGAAACTTGTTTTATTGGTCAATTACAATAATACACCGGACGTGAATGGTTTAATGTTAGGTCTAAGCCCCTAAAAAAATTAATTACACCTAACCGTTTTAAGAAACACCCGCTTAATTAGCATTTATGCTAACTTTTAACGTTAAGAAATAATAAAAATTATACGCATTTGCTACATTATGGATTGCATATCATTGCTTAATGCCTGTTATATCATTGGCTGCGTTATATAATATGCTATATTACAAATTCAAGTGATTGGCGAGTTAAGATTTCCCCCACCATATAAATGGGGCCCTTAAAGCAAGGTAAGTCACGAGGAGATGAGCCAATCAAATTTCAAGTTTGCTAAATTGGACCAATCGAATCGCAAGATCATGTGTAACATAAACATTTTTAAAACAGCGTAAAAAAAGTGAAAAAAATCGAAGAATCGTAAATAACTCAACATTTTTACTATGGCAACCACTTCAATAAAAATGTTCGGAATCAGGTTTTACATATTTCTTGATATCAGAGATACTAAAATGTTTTCTAAAAAAATGTCGTCTACCTCGCTTTAAGGATCCCCTAAATATATACATTAAATACCTATACATGTCTGGAATCGGGAAATGATCAGCAATGTAGATCGTGAAAGTGGTGGTGATACTTTACTCGATCTTCATAAATAAATTACAAATAAAAATATATTATTTTATTCAGTAAAGGTAGGGTTTTTATACATACATGTAGAATTTAATATTGGGTTGGATTTCCATTTGCATCAATTACAGCTTGTATCTTCTAGGCATACTTTCAACCAAATTTCTTAAAATTTCCGGTTCAATTGCTTCCCATTCCTCCGCAAGTACATCCATAAATTCTTCCTAATTTTTGGGATGATTTGAATGTTTACGAATTCATCTTTCCAAACATCTCACAAATGCTCAATTGGATTTAGATCAGGGCTCTGGACAGGCCATGGAAGTGAAATGATTAAATTTTCCTATTACCATTGACTAGCTGAACCAAATCTGTGAACTGGAGCATCGTCATCTTGAAAAAGAACCTGCAAATCATTTGGAAATGGCAGAAGATTCTGTTCCATTATTTATATATACTTTATACCAGTAATTCCACCCTTAACTTTGATTAAAGATCCAAGTGCATTTTGAGTAAGACATCCCCATACCATTACTCACTGATTACCCGATTTCATAGTAGAGAGAAAAGATTCAACATCATATTTTTCGTTGCCAGCAATCATTTTGGAATATTAACTTTAATCGTTTTTGGCAGTTTCCTCAGATATATAAGGTTTTCTCATCCCAGCCCGACCAAAAAACCCAGGTTCATGAAGAGCACACGGTTACAGTCATAGCAGTATTGAATTTTTTTGGTAATTTCGGCAACTTGCTTGTTGTCGATCTTCTTTAACAATATTGGTTAATCTTCGAGTGGCTCTATCCTCTAATTTTGGTGGTCTACCGCTTGGGGAGCAACTGTAGTGTGACCAAAGTCTTATGAACAGTAAATATGATCGTCCCAGAATATCTCAATTTGTTTTTCGGATAAACTACACTTTCAAACGCCCGATAATCTCACCACACTCGAATTTGTAAGTTCGCAATTTTTACGAGTATTGGTTGGGTTTGACATTGATTTTTTTATTTTGTTTGAAAGCTAATGTACTATTATTGTACGAACCTTTCCTTGTTGTACAATAGTCATTTGAAATTACCCCCTTAATTACGTCGATCATCGACCGATTCCAGACTTTTGTATGCCCATGTTCTATTCTCGTTATCGTTATGTACGAACAGACAATAGCGGGACATACATGCATGTAAAGTTACACAAATAACATATTTGTCTCATTTACTTATGTAGTTGAATAATCGCCATGTCGTATTTACTTTCTCTGTGGATGTTGAAACAATGGGTATAATAATTCAATGATGGACAATAGCGATAATTTTTCTGTGTTTCGAATTTAAAGTTAAGTTCTTTTCCAAATTTGATGGACAACAAGCTAGCTTGTATAATCCCTTTGACAATGGTAATCACCACATTATATAAGTGTGTTTAAAATCATATTTCCTCGCTCGGGATTTTTGAAATTCATTTTCTTATCCCTTTATCATTAATTTGCATAAGTAAATAATTATCTAACGCACAAATAAACAATGTCACCGCCATTCCTAACTTCATTATCGAACGATTTCGGTCATCTACTCGACGAAGGAGATGACTATAATGTGATCGTGCACGCGGGTGAAGAACCAAATGACAGAACATTTTTAGCACATTCGGTTGTATTGCGCGCTAGATCACCGTATTTTAGACGTGCGCTATCCAAAGAATGGGCTCGTACCGAAAAAAATGGAATGATTGTATTTAAAAAACCTAATATCTCGCACTCGGTTTTTCAGATTATTTTAAAGTGCGTATTTTAAGGTATATTGTTATCTTTTCATGTAACAGCATCCCATTTAACTAATAAACTCAAAATAGATATATGTACACGGGCACAATTGCGCTTGATTTTAAAGAAGGAACCGAGCTCTTAAAGCTTTTAGTTGCAGCTGATGAACTCTTTCTACAAGAACTTCATGATCATGTACAATCGCATCTTCTTGAATGTCGAGAAGTATGGCTATGTCACAATTTCGCTTTAGTCCACCGAACAGTCTTTCAGTTAGAAGCATCAAAAGAATTGCAATCGTTTTGCCAATTAATTATTTCCAAACATCCACAAGTAGTTTTCGAAGCAAACGATTTCGTCACACTTGATGAAGAGACATTACTATCATTACTTGAACGTGACGATCTCGATATGGAAGAAATCGAAGTATGGGAACACGTTCTAAATTGGGGAATTGCTCAAAATTCGGCAAATTTGGGTTATGATCACGCGGGATGGAAACGAGAAGATTATTCTCGACTACGTGAAACACTGGTGAACTGTATTCCTCTTGTGAGATTCTTCCGAATTTCATCTGCTGACTTTTATAACCGCGTACGACCATTCAAAGAGATCCTTCAAACCGAATTATTTGAAGCAATTGAAAAATTTCATTTTAAAGCTGGCAACCAATTACAATCAGATAACCTACTACCTGCTCGTTTCAAAGGAATAAAATCCACGATTATCGAAGAGAAACATGCATCGTTGATAGCGAGTTGGATTGATGGTGGTGATTCCGTCGCATTTTCAAATCACGGCGAGAATCCATATGAATTTAACCTTTTGCTACGTGGGAGCAGAGACGGATTCTCTGCTACAACTTTTCATGCTAGATGTGATAACCAAGGTGCTACAGTGGTTCTTTTAAAAGTTGATAGATCGAAACATATTATTGGCGGGTATAACCCTGTTCCATGGGGATCTACTAATAGTTGGCGGTACACACGAGATTCATTTATATTTGATTTTAAACGGGAGGTTAGTAGTAAAGACAGCAATAAAATTAGTAGGGTCATCCCAAGGAATGCGCATTATGCTGTTAATGATTCACAAGATCGTGGTCCGTGTTTTGGGGATGGAGATCTTTGGATGAATGATATGGTGATTTTCTTTTATTTTTAATAACTTTTATACAAACAACTTTTGTTCATAATTTATGTGTTTCTCATAATACATGTAGTTTAACCAGCCTGATAGTTGCACATGCAACAGAGACTCGTACGACCAAAGTATCGGCGACATGAATCGCGATTCTTGGGATTCGTGGACACAACGAACTGGTTCATTCCAGGTTGAAGACTATGAAGTATTTCAAGTTGTAAAAAAGCGGCCTCGTTTGTAAATTCTTAACTTTGACAAATGTTTAATTTATTAGTTTTTTATTTCTTTTTGTATATATTCATTATTTTGTTCGTTTTAAATGAGAATTTGTAATTACATATCGTATCAATGGATTTATCATCAATCAAAAAGTTTGTGAATACAAAATATCGATAAAAGTTTTATTTATATGCATTGCTTTTAGTAGAAAAATGGAATACAGCTTTTTCGTGCAGTTAACGTATTTCTTGAATTATTCTATGTGAGATCATCATCAGAAGACATGTACTCTCGGTAAACAAAAGTCTGGAATCGGTATATCAATCATTATTCCAAACTTGTGTAATTATCGGTTGAAACAAAGATGACACAGTGTGAACTGATTTATTGAACGTGAAATAATGAAATGGTTTAACGTTATCTATAATTAAAATTTATCTTTAGCTAGTTTCTTCTAGGAGCAACGTTATTATAATATTTTTTAAAGGCGTATTTATTGTCTTATAAACACTGTAATTTCATCTAAAAACTGTTTTGTATTAACAAATAAAATTCTTTTCAATTACTAAATTGGGATAAAAAACTTGAATTGAAATCAATCGTTTTGTTTTCATACACGTACGTGAATATGCTTTTTGCAATCCCATCTTCTTCATCTAATTATTGCATTCTCAAGGCACTTTTTAAGTTCAAGCTCATTATGTAGTTTAGAATTTGTAAAAAACAATCGGTTTTTGTTTATTAACTAATAGATATCATTGAGGAGGTACATTCATATAACGATAGAGCTGAAAGTTCTTCAGCAATATGGAGTAGGATCGCAACGTCTTTCAATGGAACATTGATTCATAGATTTCGTATTCCGCTCACCATAAAATCGCTTACCTAATGAAAATCAAAACTCCAGATTTTTGAACTCCGGAAATTTCGGGAATCATATCAAAATTTCCGTAATTCCGCCTGGTGAAATCCAGACAAATCGACGAAAATAAAAAAATATCGTGCACCAAAGTTGGTTTACTTTTTTTAGTTTTCTTAGAATAAAAACATCTCTTGAATTACAATAAATTTAGCCATATATCTCCTAAGGCATGATGTTCAACTTCAAAATAAGTGAACAATTTTAAATTAGATTTTTTTGAAAAAATAAATTTTAATTTTAAAAACATTAAAAAAGATATTACTTTGCTGGAGGAATTTAATAAATGTGTAATTAAATATAATTGACTTATTTTATATAAAAAATGAAATCGCGCAATGCCGGAATTGTGCACAGTTCCCGATTTGGTGTACCTGATCACTTTTTGTAATGACGCTCGAAGCAGATCCCCTATACAAAATATCACTTTGAAAATCTATACCTTGTGATATCAACATCAGCACTGCCGTCCCTAATAATGTTAGTACCAAAATTATTACTTTAGACTCAAAAAAATGTGAATTATTTAAACATTCACATCATACGTTATTGCTTTAATCATAGAAACATTTATATCAACATTTACCTTTTATTATAGTTAGACTTCGCTAGATCATTAATTCTTTATCTCGAAGTATAGCCAACCTCTTTTTGTGAGAATTCCTAAATCATTCATAGTCTGTACTTCAGACCCGTGAAACTGCATATCAAATTGATGTGGTTCTAAAAATTATATTTAAAGAGTAGTTATCTGAAAGTTAGAGAATTAAGCAATGGGCGATTTGAATAAAAATTAAATATTAAATTTACTTTGAAACTCACCTAACTCTTATTTTTTTCGCGCCATAACGAAATTGATAACAAAATTGATAACAAAATTGATGGATTTGCTTCTTTTCCCTTAAAAATATTGTGTATGTTTCTTTCGATTAGTTTGTTGGATGCGTCAATAAGTCCAACGGTTTTTTTTGTGTTGGTAGTGATCAGAAACTACCCATGTTCCTGTGGAATCCGTGAACCTTGTTAGTTTTTGTCCGAATACTCCCTCCAAATACCTTTTATCACGCTATCTTTTATATCTAATAATAGTTTTCGTAAAAACTATCATAAGAAACCTTTAGAGCAACTAGAGAAATTCTCTCCTTGTAAATCATTCAGTCCAAGCTCCTCCCACTATTATGTTACTTTTTACTTTTATTAGAACCAACATAGCGTAACAATATCTGATGATTGCTAAATTTGACGATAAGCCTCCCATTCGATCCCTTTAGTCAAAATGAATCGAATGATGGTATTTCATCCGTTTTAGTCCAGAAATCATGGCTTTCTATTTAGTATCTCCGATTAGTACCATGCTAATTTCTCAATTAAGTATATTTAAATTGACTGGGTCGGCAAATGAAGTATCCAGAACTATCGAAGTTATTTTTAGTATGAAAGCACAAGATGATTTTTCGTTCCAAGTCAATTTTGTATTTGGAATTAATATTATATTTGCCGTGTGTAACGACATAAAAATTTATAACACTAAAAAGCATTATGATGAGGAGTTTATCGTTATCGTTATCTTTGTGTCGTCGCAGATGGGTTATGCAGACAAAAAATGAACCACATGTATTCATTAAAAATTTTGAACATTATATTCTTACATTCTCTATAAAAATCTTATAAAATATAAAGATTAAAATAAAAATATGAAAATAATCAAAAATAAGAATATATTTTTTCAAAATCGAAAGATTCAACCAGCTCTCCTGCTCGATCATGGCCATTTTCATGTGCTTTTTTATACCATTTTAATGCCATGTCAAAATCAATTGGAATTCCGAACCCATATTGATAGCATTCAGCAACTTTGAATTGAGATAATTTATACCCAGATTCAGCAGCTCTTAGATACCATTCAAATGATTTTTTCTCATTTCTCATTGTACCATTTCCTTGAAAATAACATTCCCCAAGAAAATGCTGTGCATATAAAGCATCAAAATCAGCTGATTCTGCTGATTTCTGAAAATATGAAAATGCTTTCTGCAAATCTCTATTAATTCCCTCGCTGTAATAATAACATTTACCAAGTTCGAATACTTTATTACTTTCATCACTTGATAAGCTCAAAAACAATTTAAACGCTCGTGTTTCATTTCGTTGTGTACCTATACCATATTGATAACAATAACCAAGAAAATATTGTCCATTTGTATCTCCACCTTCTGCTGATTTCAAGTACCACTCAAATGCTTTTTTCTCATCCTTTTGAGTCCCGATTCCATCTTGATAACATCGACCAAGATTATATTGTCCACTTTCATCTCCACCCTCTGCTGATTTCAAGTACCACTCAAATGCTTTTTTCTCATCTTTTTGTGTTCCGATTCCATTTTGA